TCTATGAATCCTCATTAAACTGATTTCCCCATACACCATGTCATCTCCTCTTTGCTCCTTACTATTAGGTTTTGACTGTCTGGTTAAAGACTTAAACTTGAAAATATTGTTGCATATGTCCTCTTGAATGCTTGTCAAAATCCATATTCTTAATCTCCATGTTAGAGGATGGTGGCATAGTGACGTTCAACATTTTTATGCATCTGTAAGTGAAACTGTAATCCCTGAAAAATGAGAGTGGTTGATTTATGTGCCTTCCTTGTTTCTTTGAAAGAATGAAGGACTTGATTCCAATCCTAGTACAGTATGTCAAAAGTCGGCTAATGCCTGGGGGGATTGCTTTGTTTGTTGCTCACAATGGGCGCACTTTCGACATACCTTTTCTGTGTAAGGAATTCAGCCGATGCTCCATGAACATCCCTTCTGATTGGCAGTTTCTTGACACCCTTCCTCTAGCACGCAAGTTTATGGAGGCAAATGGTCAGTACATCTCTCTTCAGTTTTCCTTCCCTTGGATTCTTATCATTCATTCTAATTACTGAATTTGTGTGATTAGGATTGCCTTCTCAAAAGTGCTCACTGCAAGCACTTCGTGAATGCCTTGATATCCCAGTAGGAGATACATCACACAGGGCGATGTCGGATGTGAACGTGCTGTCGTCATTACTTGGAAGGCTAACTTTTGAGATGAAACTCACTGTTGCTGATCTTATAGAAAGATCTTTCAAGGCTTCAGATCTTATTAAACCAAAAAAGGCTTCAGATCCTATTAAATCAAAAAAGATTAAAACCAAGGTCTGAAAGCCGGCATTGTAGTTACTTACTAGATGATGATGGTAGTTCCTTTTGATTGCATTTTATGTGTTTATTTCCATCCAAACAGTTGATTGGAATGAAATATGATGATTTTGGCATTTTTGCACGATGAAACAATAGAATTTCTGCCTACCCTTTTTCGTTATTGGGTGAAAATCAACAGGACAGGTTATTGGAGTTGGAAAAAGAAAAGCAACCTCATAACTGCTCTCGTTGAGAGTCGAACTCAAGACCTCCCGCTTACTAAACGGGTGCTCTAACCAACTGAGCTACGAGAGCTGGCTAATACCTTTTCCCTTTTTCTATTATAAGTTCAATATCTCCATGCAAGCTAATCAGTCAAAACCAACACGTTTTGTGCAACAAACATGATCCAAAAGCGATCCAAGTCCATACCATGACGTAGTTATATTCCCAAATTGTGTTTTGTCGCAAAGACTTCCCTATCTTTTTCTCCACTTCGGAATTCGGATAGGATTCTGCTAGATTATGGTCATACATGATGAAGTGATATAGGATGAGAGAATAATCTACTTTTTACATCTTGATTTTGAGCTGACTATTTGTACATATTGAATCTTCCCACTATTATCAATCACATGTCAAACGCGATTTTGTATAGAAAGGACCTTTTTTCTTTTTTTCTTTTTTTCTGACACAAGAAATTGTTATTAACTAATTATTATATATTACACATGAAATACTAAATTTGTAACATCTAAAACCTAAATAAAGCAGTAATGGCCCATGGGGGTGTCTCAATGGCAAAACTCAGGACATTATCTATATTATATAATCCCATAATTGTATGTTACAAAAAAAAAGAGAAGAAGATGAAATAACAATAATGTCATTGAGCAGACTAGTGATACTTTTTCTTTAATAAAAACAAAGATGTTTTGTGTTTAAGTTGTACAAATATTCTATTAAAGAAATAAAAAAGTTGCATTCCGTGCATGCATGATATTATAGCTTTTAAAGGAATGTTTTAAATAGTTAAGAATTTAAAATTTAAAATTAAAAATTAAAAATTAAAAATGAATGAAAAGGGATTATAAAAAGAGAAAAAATTATCTTTGTTGTATAGTTTATTACTTCTTTTTTGTTCATTTTAATAAATTTAGTTTATATTTTTATTTTTAATATATAAATTTTAGACGAAAATTTAATAATTTATCTAAATTTAATAATTTATCTGAATAATAATTAAAATTTTTTCAAATAAAAAACTTTTTAAAAAATAATAAAGAGTTAAAAAATTTTAATTATTGTTTATATAAATTATTAAATTTTTATTTAAAATTTATAAAATAAATTATGTTTATTAAAAATTAACCGAAAGAACATTATATATAAAAAAATCATATTGTGAATTGTGTTATAATTTTTTTGTTTGTTTATTTTCCAATTGTGTTATCATTTTTTTTTTGTTTGTGTTATAATTGTGTTATAATTGTGTTATAATTTATAAACTTATAATTGTATTATTTTCTAAAAAATCACGTGACTACTTTGCCCTTACTGGCGACTGCAGTGGCTACCATCTCCGGGGTATCTCACGTGATTTGACAAAACTTGGAGGGCACATTTGAGAAAACGGAAGTGGTTAATAAAAGGGGCTGAAACCCCTACCAGAAGTTCGGTGGAGAGTTTCCTCTGCTCTTTTTCTCCCTTTCCGTCCTTCCTTCCAAGCTTCCATCTTTCTAGGTTTTTTTTTCTTCTTTTTTTTCCTTCAATTGAATTGAGTTTTAGGGTTCTTCAACAGAACTGAAAACCCAATTTAACACGAATCAAAGAGCTTTTGTTTTCTCTGTTTAGAATTCGGAAAATGGATTCCAAATCCTGGAGCTCTCGTTTCTCTGTTTCTTCCTCCTCGTCGTCCTCGAGGCGGTACCAGACTCGTTCTGGTAGGGTTTTTCTTTTTTGGATTTGTTTTGCAGAGAATAAATGGATTCATTTTGAGAGGAGTTTGAGATTTTTATTGGTTTTTTTTTTTTTTTTTTTTGGTGTTTAGATCTGTTTCTGGGAGGTGGATACGAAGAAGTTGATAGAGATGATGATTCGAAAGCTGAGTTTCTGTGTCCCTTTTGTGCTGAGAATTTCGACATTGTTGGACTCTGCTGTCACATCGATGAGGAGCATCCTGTTGAAGCTAAGAACGGGGTATCGTTTCTCTCTCTCTCTCTCTGAGCTAATTGTGATTGATCCTTCAATTTTCTTGTAAAAGTTTAACAAAGTGCGTCTTTTACCATTCAATTTGTTGAAGTTGCTTCCTGTTGCATTTATTTGCTGAAGAAATGTCTTTGCTTATCTGTTTTGTCTGCTGTTGATAGTACTAATTGGAATGGGAAAAAGATAATAAAATTTGAGGTTTAAGTGATGATAAAAGGTGAGATTGAGGTAGGGATTACCTCGGTGCTCTGGCTAGGGCAGCTAAGGAATGCTTCTAATCTTGATCATAATTGAAGTCATTGACCAGAGGGTTTCTTGCAATGGCAAAGTAGGTTCTTTTCATGGACAAGTGAAAGTTTTTTGCTTGATTGGACATCAATACAGGATGTTTTAGTTGAAACCCATGTTACTAGCTTGGACATGTGTTAGATGATGGGAGTGATTGAGTACTAAAAATTGGAAGAGATGTGATTGTGTTTGAGAAACTTGTGTTTGTTTCATGGACTACCAACGAGCTGTGATACTATATAGACGTCATTTTACTTCAGTATTATGCTGAGTTGATGTTCTCGGCATCTCTTCTATACATCTGGTGCAACAAAGTAATGCAATAACAGGACAATTTTGGACATTGTTGAACTCCCACAATCCACATAGAACCAACTGTATTTATCTGCTTCTTCTTCTTCTTCTTCTTTTTAATGAAATTATCTTGTTTTCAACAATGATTTATTTCAAAAGAAATTTCCATTTTCACCAGTTTGGTTGGCATAAATTTAAGATTTATAGAAAGTTTACTCATCTATTTCTGTTTGAATGCTTTTGTACTTTCAGGTTTGTCCAGTTTGTGGTAAAAGGGTTGGAATGGATTTTGTTGGCCATATCACTATGCAGCATGGAAGCTTTTTAAAAATATCCTTTTTGTGAATTGTAACTGATTGTGTTTTCTTCTTGCTTGTGTGCTATCTCATTTCTGTTACTGAATGACAGCATATTTATTATTTAACTGTTCCATATCCACTTCACATATTAATTTAAAAACAAAAAGAACTTTTCATTTCGTAAGATTTATCCCTGCATCAATTTGGCGGAGATCAAAGAAGTCGATGGACTGCTTTTTCTGTCTTAACATCTTTGTATGATTGTACAAGTTGAAGTGAATTGTGATTTTATTAGGGGCTTGGTTGGATGTTATTTTCTTTTTATGTATTTCCCACTGTTTGATTGGCCTATTGAATTGCTTTCTGCATCTCCATTTGTGTTCTTCTGGTATCCCATCAAAACTTCTCTTGTGCACATGGATCTTCATTTGTAACTTAAATTCTGTGGTTCAACTGTGTGCAAGTGTAGCCATGATGAACAGCCTGTACTGTTCCTTAACCATATGTTACGTGCAGCATAAGAGGAGATTTAGGAAGGCTGGATCCAATTTGACATTTTCTATGTTGAGAAGAGAATTGCGAGAAGGGAATTTGCAAGCCCTTCTTGGGGGATCTTCATTCCCTCCCCCTTCTTCCAGTGCAGACCCTGATCCATTATTATCATCATTTATATTCAATCAGCCATCCACTACTGAGCCTGTAAATGTGCAGCCTCTGTCTATGGCTGAAGGAAGCTCTGTAACTGAAAGCTCAAATAAGGAGTTGCCTCAGAGGTATGACTGCTGGTTTCCCTTTTATTCTCCCATATCGATCTTATTGTGTGAATCACATACTTATTCTGGAAATTGTGATTGAGCCATTGGTTTTTATTTTTAATGTAAACAAAGAACAAAATACAAATAAATATAGTCAAAGTAGGTGTTTTACAATTGGGACCACCTTGGTGACTGATTATGGGTCATTGTGATTTAACTTCTAAAATATATAGTCCAGTGTAATTGTCTTTTTATTTGGTCAAATGTGAGGCTGTTGATTGAAATTTGGAGCTTCTTATTATTGCCACTGTGCAAATTGCTATTAATCGTCATTTTTGTTACATCAATTTTTTTGGTAGACTAGGATTCTGAGGTACATGTAGTGTATTCAGGCATATATAGGCTAGGGTTGTACAAATTTTAAAAGCTATTGATGGTTGTTTTCATCTTTGGTTTTTCATGGGAAAAAAAAGGATCAAACTTCTCTATGCATTGCTAAATGAATGAAGAAAATCTTTATAAAGGATGAAAGATGGAAATATGGTGCTAACTGTTAAATGTTCTCCTGCTATCATCTGCTGACCTTTTGTGTTAGTGATAATTTTTGATAAATTTCATGTCTTTCTTTGGATTATGTTGGATTGTTACATATCGAGTCTTTCTCTGTTCTAACTCTAGTGAAATGGTTGTAGGCATTCCCAACGGTCACAGTTGTCAGACAAGGACCATAAAGAGAAGGCTCTGAGAAGCGAGTATGTTCAAGGACTGTTGCTATCAACAATTCTTGATGATGAATTATAAGTTAATGGAATATTTGTAGTGGATGTGGCCAAGTTAGGTGTGAGTAAAATATGAAGAGGGAAGCAATGTTTTCTTCAGCTCACAACTGATAATAATTAGGTCAGAGGACCTCTATTCGCCTATATTGTATTTATACTTTCATAGCTTTTGTGCATAATGGAAAGATGGAAGGACTTATCCTACCTTTCTGTTGGCTTCTCTGCTTAATCTATTACACGTTTTTACACTTCATACAATATTAAAGTTGCAGGAATTATACCAAAGTTAATATTTATTTGGTTTTTTTAATCAGAATATTTAGGTGATCTACTAAATTAATTTACAGTAATGGGATATTAATAGTTGTCAGCCAATTGTTGTATGTCATTTTGTGTTGTTTCCTGGGAAATGAACTTTTACTGGAATAGCTGAGCCGAGTTTCATTGTTGGCATTTGGTTGACACTTTGGCTCGTCATTTCCTTTGAACAAAAATGTATTTTTCACTCTCAACTATACAATAAAGTGCAATCCAAGCTATGAATTTTATCATGTTTATTTGATAATTTTGATGCCCTGACTGAAAAACATGATATCTTCCCAGCAATTATTTTCCTTCATAAATGAGTTTCCTCCCTCTATAGAAGAATCTAACCTCAATTCAAATCATGCATAAAAGCATGTAAATGCTGAGAAAGATACCCACGCACACAACCATATGGCCTCCTATATAGTTTTCGTTTTCCCACGCAGCAGCAGAACTTACATTAAGCACAAGACATAACAAAGATATGTGAAAAGCAGAACTCCATAATCCTCGGAAGGAGAGACCAAGATATTTAAAATGTTACTTATTTTATTTTCACCTCTACTAAAGAACTAATCATTGTATCCACGATCAAATTTTCTGAAACTGTTAGTAAAGTAGCATGTTACACATACTGAACATATTAGACTGAACAGGATAAATTGGGGACATATGGCTATACAAAATATAGGAAAAATTTTCACCACCATCATCGAACAACCTTATTCAAAAGTTGTAAGATTAAAAGAGGTAAAATGGAATGCCGTCTGAAATACCAGGTGGAGTGAGGTATCAGGAACCGTACTGCATCCAAGATCATCCGTCCTAAAGCAGCATTTTTTTAACCAGCAATGTCCAAGACCCAGAAATATGCCAGGGAAAGTTACTCGCATATCTAAAGCTAAGGCCAAGAAAGCCTGGATAATGATCACTCAGAAACAAACTAAAAGGATAGCAACACAGCTGGCATTCACAAGGGTGCTGGGAATTTCTCAGATTAAAATGCTTGTCCACTTGTGTTTTGGGATAATCCTCACCTCCATCGTGAGATGTTGGAAGCAAAGAACCTATAATCAGGATGATTAACTTGCAAACGCCTTAGCCAGTTATCAGCTTCTTGCAAAAGATAATTAGCTTTTGGACATTCATGAACTCCATCAGGATTCCAAACTGCAGGTTTGAACTTATAGAAAGCAAGGCCAAAAGTGGGCAGTGATAAGGACATCTCAGCACCTGGAAACTCCTTAACAGTACCATGGTGGATGGGCAATCTGTCTGCCTTAGTACCTGCTCCAAAGCAACACCCAATCAGAATTACAACAAAGGGAGCAAAGACATTCAATCTTCACATATATGATAAACTTACCCTCTGAGAGTGTTGACAGATAATGGAAAGTTAAAAAACAGGCATCCAAATTTTGAAGTGTTGGACCAGTTGGTATCCTGTATATGGGGTACCTTCATCATTGAAGGACATGAAAAAGAAGGGAGAAAATAAGAATATTAGACTTAAAATCAGATCAACAATGAAGAAAGGCCATAACACCATAAATCTCTAAAACATGAGGAATTGAGGATGTACCATGCCACAGAAATCCAACTTGAAGGTGATAGATCACAACTCCTGTACGTCCTCAGTTCTGGAAATTGAGATGCAAGAATGGAAATCTGTAGGAGAAAAGATAATTACCTTATGATACAGATGGTAGGTAGCAATGAAGCAATCAAAGAATGATGAACTTGCCTTGTCAGCCAAAGGTTCTCGAGTAAATGGTAGCTGATGCTCCAAGTATTCAAAGATAAGCTCGCCTGAGGGGTTACATATCTCACTTTCATCGCTTGATGAACTCACAAATTGTCTGTTTTTCAAGGACTGTCTACTTGATCTTTGGATACTCACATCAGCAATATTATGCTGGTTCCAAGCTCCCTGAACAGCATTGTTAGCTCTTCTAACCATTCCAAAGTCACTGCTGTCATCACTACTCGTCTCCCTGGATGACTCATCACTCTCCTCACCAGGCCTCCTAGGGGAATATATAAGCTTGAATGAATAACACAACATGAAATTGATCCCCTCTAAAAACATCTCTGGCATTTCAACAGTTTCAAATAATAACTACCTTAAGATAGCAATCTACAGTAATTAGAAGATAGAATAGTTATCTTCCTCTCCCTGACCTTTCTCACAAAGATATGGACCAAAAACAAGATCTGGTCAAGCATATGGGTAAAACCAATTTTTGTGCATGCAAATCCTTAGTTGTCTTAACTGGATGGTGAGAATTAAATAATATGACCTACCAAAGTAAAACAAATTGCATCATCTCTAATAAACTTGAATTAGGTTGTTGAGAGGAAAGTTTACAATGATTACCTTCCAAAGCACAGGAACCAAAAAGTTAGAACTGATAGCTATTTCAATTTCTGAATCAAGTAAGCCACAAGAGAGATAAAGACTGACAAGTTTGTCTAAGTTAATTTTTCAACAAAACAAAAAAGCAAAGCATTGCTAACCATGTAAACAACCAGAAGGTCCCAATTTGAGTTCGAATCTAAAACTTGAAATGCAAATGAAATTTATTTTCTTCAAGTTATGTGATAATGTGTTGCATTTCTACATAAAACATATCTCAATTCTTTTCCTTTACTTAGGAGTACACAGTCCTTTTAAAAATGCATCATGTGAAGGAATCCCAAAAAAAACATATGATAATAAGTAAAAAAACAAGACAATGGCTTACCTTAGCCTCGAGGTGGGTCTCGATTGGTCTAAATACAACTGCATACCAGACAAGTATGGACAATAGTATTGCATTACAGAGTCACTCCCATTCAACAAAAGAGGAACCCCAGCTCCATATGCACTCCACTCCTTAAATGACTCCCATAAATCCCCTAGCACAAAATATGGCTGAGACTCTGGCCCATGCTCACGGCCCTTCCATCCTCTCATGCTTGTCTACATATCAGAGTTGAACCAATAAGATCCAAAGGCATTAATAAAGTTAATTACCTAATTCTCTCAATTTACTTTTGATTTTGATTCATCATCTTATTTCATTTCTGTTTTTTGTTTGATTTTTTAAAGAAACATGAGTGAAGTAATTAAACTACTTGACAGTCACCATAGTGGAATTCCATAGTTCACACCCATCATTCCAAAGAATCTGCATTTCCTACATTTTCCAAGCAAACAATAAGACCTCTCTGTAATTCTTAAAGCCAAGAGCCAAAAAATATCTAAGTTAGTTATCAAGTCTATTACTCTCAGGATCCTAATTAAAGCTAAATCCTTTGTTAATCCTCCCTGATTCCCACATTTCCAGTCTCTAAACACATAAAATAGAAAAACCCTAAAAACAAAATCAAAAGAAACATAATTAATTTCAAAGAAAGTACAAAATCTTTGGTCAATCAATATCATGATTTACCTTAGGCAAGTACTGAGCAGGCACAACAGGAGTCGTAGACTCCAAGAACCGATCCAAATTCGTGGAATTACCATTGTTTCCAACATTCGCATTCAACGACGCCGGTGATGGTGTGGCGCATTCATCGGGATCCATCCTCCTCTCCACCGAACTCTTCGAACTCGACCCCTTCTCTCCGGCCCGCCCCCGCTGCTGCTGCTGTTGCTGTTGCTGTTGCTGTTGCTGCTGCTGCTGCTGCTGCAACTGCTTCCTCATCGGCGGAGGATTGTAGAACCGACTCTCTCCACGCCTCCGCGCTACTGATACTCCTCCTGCCCCCGACATTGTACTGACCTCAAAACCCCGGAAAAGAAACGAACAGCGGTTCCGATGAGGGTTTTGGGTGAACGTTGGTTGTGGAAGCAAAGGAAAATCTAGGGTTTTAGTGGATTGAAGAAGAAAGAAGAGGCAAGGGAAGAGTGTCTCAAATTGGTGAAGTTTTACTGTGGGAATTAATTTGATTCATTCATTCTTTCATATTTATAAAAAAAAAAATGGTGTAAAAGGATAGTTTATTTTATGAATATATTAAAATATTTTTTTAAAAAAAGTTATTTAAAAAATTAAAATTATTTTAATTAATTTATAAATTTTAATTAATTTATAAAATAAATAATATTTTTTATGTGTAATATGAACAGTTAAATATTAATATCTATTTATAATTAATAAGTAACAATAACAAATTTTTTAGTAAAATTGATATTTATTAATTTAAAAACTTTAATTTAATAGCAAAGTTTAATTTTTTATATTATCAAATAATTATTTTTTTATATGTAAAAAATAGTAAGAAATAATTCTTGTTTATTTATTTAATAATAATTTTTTAATAAAAATAAAAATTTAAGTTTAAAAAGTATAACAATATATAAATAAAATAAATTTAAAAAAATAAGAGACTATTTTTATATTATATAATATAAAATAAAAAATTAAAATTAATAAGTAAGTGAGTTTAAGGCTCTTATTTTTATTGGACTACAAAATATGATTGATAAAAAAGAAAAAGTTTTTACTCTTTATCTTTAGTATAAGGCATTATCCTATCCATTATTTATTGATTTGAATAGAATAAACTTGATTTTTTTTAAATAAAATTTAAAATTTAAAATTTATAAATAAATAAATAAGTGCTAAAAAAATTTTTTAAAATAAAATTTAAAGTGATTTAATTTTAAATTAATTAAAATATAATATAATTATTAAATATAAAAAAATAATACCAAGAAAAATAAGGCACTACTCTTTGTTCAATAATAAGTACAGCAAAGTTAGGTGTAATTGTACTGCCCAATACTTTTCCTTAATTAACTTTCATGAACTGAAGGCGGATATGAGAGCGGTGTCGTGCGGGCGTGTGTTGTGCTGAGAGATATTTTCGCGTAGAAAAGTTAAAATTCTCCCAGAAGGCTCTAGAAAGATTGGGGCTTCAGCTGTTCTGCACCATTCCAGAAAAGTCTTTAATTGCCGTCGTTTGATTTGGTTTTATATTTTTCGTGTTAGGAACTTATCTCTCTTAATTTTCACTTTAAGTTTTTTTATTACAAAATAATTTAAAAATAATTTTTTATTATTTTTAATATAATTTTATACATCATTTAAATAATTAATTAATTAATTTATTTAAAATTTATAATATTAAATATATTTATTTATTTAATAATATATAAAAATTATATAAAAAATAATAAAAAAAATTATTCTTGCACCATTGCAGTTGTATATTAGAGTTAATAGAGTTGAATTTGGCTTTAATTTTAAAATTGAGACTTGAGTTTTGCTTAGGAAAATAATTTAAAAATCGTTTTTTTGTATTTTGTTTGTATAATCTTACATATAATTAAAATGATTGATTTTTTAAATTTAATTAAGATCTATAATATTTAATATATCTACTCATTAAATGATATATAAAAATTATATAAAGAGATTGAACAAAAAAATTGTCCCTATGTTACCACCCTTTTACTTTTATTTTTCCAAAAATAGATTCTAATTGTGGTTGATTTGGTTGGATATTTTTGGTGAGGATTTTGCCTATCTTGATTTTAATGTTAAGTATATACTATAGTTAATAGAGTTGGATTTATTTCCCAATTTTATGATTGAGGCTTGAGCTAGGCTGATCTATTCCAAAAAAGTCTTTGATTGTGGTTGGTTTGGTTTGGTTTGACATTTTTAGCAAGGATTTTGCCTTTCTTAATTCTGATTTTAAGTTTCTATTATAATTAATAGAGTTGAATTTGTTTTTAATTTTATTTGGAGAATTAATTATTAGGGGATGATTAGTTTATCTATCAATAGCATTTCGATTTAGAATAAATTAGACCGCTGTATAGTAATGTGTTTTAGAGCTAACCTGAATTAATCATTCAATTAACTATAAAGTCATTAAATAATAATTTGTAGAGATTTAGGGACAGTCACTTATAATTTACAAGTGTGCTCATGGCACCTTATTTATATTTATAAGATTTTATTTCATAAAAAAAAGGGGAAGTCCTTTTCATGCTTAAAAAGAGATTTTTTTTTTTTTTTTTTTGTAAATACCATGCATCTATTCATGTTATAAATGTATTTTTGTAGCATTATAATGTGATTCAATATTAAATGTGTGGATGAATATTACAAGTATAATTCTTGTACAATAATTTATATAAGAGAGTTTTGTTATATGTTTTATAATTATTAATAAAAAAATTTACATAAATATTAAGGATCAATTTTTTATTAATATAATTATAAAATATGTAATTCACATAAAATATATTACTTATTATTTGTCCGTTTGTATGATATAAAATAAATATTAAACAAATAATTACATATTAATTTATAATTGACTCTTAAATAAAAAATTGATCATATTATATAAATAATTATTAATAATATTTAAATATTATATTTCTATCATTTTCATTTAAATAATTTGTCCTATCAGGTGAACCGAGGTAGAAGATATCATAAAAGATATTGAAAATAGACTGTTATTATTATTAATTTTTTTTTAAAATAAAGAGTGCTACTTGAAAAATGAATGAAGTTTCTTTTTTGGTTTTAACAGAGTTACAAATTGAAGGTAAAGAATACGAATCTCAATCTTCACCTTATGAGTCGGTGTATAATTATTGGGTTGTGAAGTTCAGTACAATAAATGAATGAAGTTTTTAAAGAAAAAAATTAAATATTTTATTAGAATTTGAAAAGTGAACTAGTCATGGCCACGGAAAGGAAAAAAAAAAAAAGAATTTGAATAGTCAAATGTGTAGCACGTGCTAAATTTAATATTGTGGTAATAGGATATCTTCAGTTTGTTTGGAATATTCTCTTACTTTTTCTACAGACGCACTAGCCAGGAGCGATGGAGGACCAAATGAGGATGACATCGTGACAACAGTGTTTTGTCATGCAATTGCAACCACTCCATCCTGTTGGAAGAAGTGTTTGTGCAATTTGTGTTGTTTTAAATGATGTAACTTTAATTTGAAATTTTTTAAATTTATATTTTTTTTGAATAATAGGTTAAGGATTTTTTTTATTATAAATTTATATAAATATTTATAAAAATAGATATTAATTTTAATAATATTATTAAATAAATAAATTTAATTAAATAATTAAATATTATTTTTATTTTTTTAAAACTCATAAATTAAAAAAATTCATATATTTTTAAATAAAAATAAATATTTTAAAATCAAAATATTTTGTTTCATTCAATAATTTTTATTTTATAATTTAATGTAATTTAAATTATATTCTAGTGGTGGATAAAGACGGTACCTACGTGACATTGACAAAGTTAATCTCACGCTGTCATGCCTCATCAATGGCAATATCACAAGACTAAAGGGAAGTTTGGAGTCAAGATGGATGACTCAATCAACATAGCAGCAATCAAAAATATATCCACAATCTTCTTTAAAAAAATTAAATTGAGTTAGATAATTAAGTAATAAAAGCATACATTTTTTTTATCAGAAAATTTTTATTATTTTTCATTAGGGTTTTCCTTTTGTTGGGTCTAATATTATAAATTTTTTAGTGTAGACTTGGAGACACTAATAAGTAATAACATTTTAATTTTGTCTTTATAAAATATTAAAATGGGTAAAAAATGAAAGAGAGGGAAAAAAAGGATCGTTATTTAATCAAAATTAGATATTAACCTAATATTTTAATATGATTTGACGAATATCCTTTACATCCGGTCAATATTTTCGTCAATTTAAACATTATTTGATTTTTTAACATCATGTAAATAGTGTCATTATTTGCTAATAAAAAATAATTTAAGAATAATTTTTTATATTATTTTTTTATATAATCTTATGTGTCAATTAAATTATTAATTTTTTTAATCTATTTAAATTTATAATATTAAATATATTTATTAATTTAATAATATATGAAAATTATATAAAAAAATTATACTTATATCACCACACATTTGCTAATTGCTACAAATAGAAAATAGTGCCTTCGATTGCAAAATAGGAGGATGTTACTGTCCTTGTTTGACACTTTTGCTTTACTTTATGAGAAAATGTTTTCCAGTTAATTACATCTTTGCTCCTCATTCATTTTTCTTTCCATTCATATATTCACTGATTGTTTATTTATTAATTAATCTTGAAAATTGCAAAGAACTATATAATTGAAATTATTTAGTTAACAACTTAAGTGATTCAATGATAATTTCTTTTCATTGAAAATAAGATATTTTAAATTCGAATTACATGATAATTAATGAGGTAAGACAAGATATGAAAGATAATTGTCTTTTATTATATAATTAAGATAAACAAAAAAATTATTTAGAGGTGACATAATCCTTAACATTACAGGCTATCCCTATTTAATAATTTTTATATCAGAGTACAAAACATGAGATTTTTTTTATTAATTATCAACTCATTTTCCCTTCTTAAAATTTTTTTTTTCAACCCTACTGGGCCACTGCATTGCTCAAGGAGGGTATTATTATAAATTTAACCCAATCAAGGAGGGCCTTGGCCAACCAAAAGAGGTGGGCTTTAGTTCGCTGAGGCCCAGAATTAATGCCTCATCTTCAACAGATAAATAAATTCAAAACAATCAAAAACCCTAACCCCTGCACCACAGCGTCGCTTGCATCGCCGGTCGATTTTCTGGTGCAGGATAGAGCAAGAAAGCTCCGTCCTTTCTCCCCTTCCGGTAAGGATGGATCTTTTCCCCTCTTTATGGCTCGCTCAATTAAGCGTTTCAGCCGGTTTTCGTTTACCCTGATCTGTTTCATTCTTTCTTTTGTGCATTTGATTTTATTATTTTCATTTAAATTCTTGTTTAGGGTTTTCGATCTTCTGTTTATTTGACCTCTGATTCCTGTCCATATATATATATATATATATATATACATTCCCTGTTTCTTGATGGTGAATGGCTTTTTTAAGAAATAATTTGTCAAGGGTATGTTTGGTTTGAGGTAAATGAAGGGGAGGGAAAACTTTTTGTTCAATCGAATTAATTTTCATGTATGCTTTGTCAAATGTTTTAGCATCATGCACTGAAGTTGTGACTTTGATAATATGCAGCTTGAGTCAGGAAGATATGTTAGACACCAAGGTAAATCCAACCAAAAATAAGTCCACTGGACTCCCTAGAAAACGTTTTTACCGAGCACGAGCACACAGCAACCCATTGAGTGATTCGCACTTCCCAGTTCCCATTTCGCCTAGCCATGTTGAATATTCACTTCACTACCCTCAATTCTTCCCTTCATCAGAGGAGGTAGAGGGTTCCAAAAAGATCCAATTTGCAGATATTGGATGTGGTTTTGGAGGGCTTCTGATTAGTCTATCAACCCTTTTCCCCGAAACGTTAATGATTGGAATGGAACTTAGGGATAAAGTAACAGAATATGTGAAGGAAAGGATTTCAGGGTTAAGGGTGGCAAATCCGGGTCAATACCAGAATATCTCAGTTGTTCGGACCAATTCCATGAAGTACATTCCCAATTTCTTTGAGAAAGGACAGCTTTCAAAGATGTTTTTCCTGTTTCCTGATCCTCATTTTAAAGAGAAGAATCATCGTCGTAGAGTGATCAGTCCCCACTTGTTAGATGAGTATGCTTATGTTCTTCAGGCTGGTGGGATTATATACACTATTACAGATGTGGAAGAACTTGGAGAATGGATGAAGACTTGCTTGGAGAATCACCCGTTGTTTGAGGCCCTCACAGAACAAGAGCTTGAGGCAGATCCGGTAGTAAAACTCTTGAGTTCTGCAACTGAAGAAGGACAAAAGGTTGCTCGCAATGGGGGGCAGACATACCAAGCAGTTTTCAGACGCATTTTGTCAGCTTCATGAGAGAGAACCTGGCATGCTTAAGGTTAGTTGAGCCAACTGATTATCCATCAATCAGATTTTGTTGGAACTTTTGTTAAGGGTTCCAGATACTGTTTTTTATTTTATATATACCATGTTTGTCAGGCATTAATTGCTTTTAGGATGTTAATTATGGTCTAGCTGCATGACCAATTTTATGCCAAAATTGATCGGAAAGAAACAAACAAATTGTTGTGACACATACGCTGATCTTCTGGATATGTTGTTGCCTCTTGGCATTTTTGTTGCTGCATTTTCCATTTGTATTTCTATTAATTATAGAACTGAATTGTTTGTTTTGAGCTTGAGAACTATGTATACCATCGTGGATTGTCGAGGAAAATTGAAAATTCACAGGAGCTTATAACCAACCATTAGAATTGCGGTCATTTCTTGTTGATATTTTTTTTTTTTTTGGTCTTAATCTGCATGATGTCTTAGCAAAAACTGGAGAAATCATTCTCTGACTTGAGATGAAGCATGGGAACTAAAACTGTGATAATTACACATCTCAGCCATTTGCCTATATCTCTCTTAATAGCTGCGGTAAACTTTATACCCAGATTAATAATCTTTGTGATCCTATGAAACTAATAAGAAAATGTCTTTTTTTCGAAGATACCATACTACCTTACCTACCATACTAACTGGAATTTTTTTCATTACATTATATTCATTAAAAATTATAAAAGACAAAGGAAAAAAAAAAAATCAATCTTATTTGAGGAAGTATATTGAAGTTTACACTCAGATCACTCTTATTACGTAGCCCGCCAGAGACGGTCTTGGATGGAAGACAAACAAAACCAAAGGCACACCACTCAAACTTACAACTTGAAAGACTTGAAAACAAAAGATCATGGTAGTGGACAATTAGTCTACGCATCAGGGTTTGCGGAAAGGTAGGCTTCAACAGCCTTGAACAATCCCAAGGCTTTTTCCTTGCCAGCCTTGATGTCTTCTTCCTTGATCTCTATGTCACCGATGGTGTAATACTTGCTGCTGCTCTTGCAGATGGATCCTCCATCTGGGGCAGCCACAAACTTGGTCTCGTAACAGATCTTTTCTAGGGTGTTCATCAAAGCATCACCTTCTATCACACTGTAACTGTATGTGAAGTTCTCTTTGTCTATCCCATCAATCTTGTGCTTGACATACTTGAATTGGCTCCCTGCATGCATGAGTAATCTTTAGATTAACCAAGTAAATGCACCACATAGTGAATTGTACATCTAAGCAAAATGCAAGGAATTTCAACAGATGTGAAACAAACCTTCACCAAAAGTAATCTTCTTAATGCTTCCAGGTCCTCCATTTCCTTCAACAAGTTCGACATCCTTAATGGCCTGTGGGACAATCTTGGGAATGAGGTGGTCAGCGTCAAGGACAAAGGCCTTGAACATCTTGGCTGGGGGCATGGCAGTAGTGACCTCCATTTCATAAGTGAAAACACCCATGGTTGCTTTAGATTTTGAAAAGGATCAAAGGAAGAAAATGAAGAAGACTAAATAAATGATATGCAGGGGAGTGCTTGAAATGAGAACTAAAAACCTAAAGCAGGTATTTATAGACTGAACTCGATGTGCTAATGTAGATCAAAGACTTCATTCGTTGATTTTTGAATTCTCATTTTATGTATTCTCGCATATAACATGTGTTGCGTTTGGTGTTATTTTTTCATTGAGTTTTTTTTTTTTTTTTTTTTTTTTTAGTATTTTATGAAAATATTAGTTTATAATGATTAAATTAATTTTAATTAATATTTTATATAATTTAATAATCATATTAATATATAAATTTTTTTTAAAATAATTATTAAATAATAATATAACTTTTTTATAATAAAATATTAATAAACTCACAATTACAGTATTTTAAAATCATTTCAAACAGAAATCATTATTTTTCTTAGTCAAAAATGCAAGCTGGAAAACTGATAGTAATATCCTCGAACGTTTGATTTTACTTTTGTGCGGTGCCTACCTCCATTTTCTTCGAAAAAGATAAATAAATGAAAGCACAAAGTTGAGGACCAAGAAAAACCAACATTGACCCCGAAAAAAAAAAATGCTTTTCTAGATGGATTGAAAGTTCAAAGTCGTCTTCCCAACTGCACTTGGCCTTCGGACCCGTGACTTGGCCTTCGGACCCGTGACTTTAAGTTATGTTTAAATGCATTTTTTTTTTTTTGGCAACTATTTGAATTCAATCTTTTGTAAAATTGTATAAAAAGAAAAAAATCCTCTTCCCAACTCATAAATCATAATAATAGGAACTGTACAAAACAAAACAGTTGACTGTAACAGAAAGATTTACCCTCTGGGTTTCTCCTTGTGTGAACTACTTTCTTTGTAATAAGATAACTCTTTTTCTCTTTGTGAATACTCATGATCTTCCAAACTGATCATCCGAAGAACTAAAACATTCAAGGGGTGTTTAGTTTACTTTCTTGGAAAATATTTTTTTCAAAAATTTTACAAAGAAACTTTGGTCTTTATATATTTTAAAATTATAATGAGTAAAAGATAAAAGTTGCATTTTTAACTTTTATTGTTCTTGGCACAATTCTTAATTTGTAAATTTTTATTTTTAAATTTTTTCTTGAGAAAATTTTTTTTATGATTTTTTCTATATGGGACCTATTTAATAATTTTTTTATATCAATTTCTTACTAATTACCACAAAATTAATAATTTGACAAAACTTCAATAAAATTTCATTACAATATTTAGTAATTTTTTGACAATATTTTTTTACTTTTTCATACGATACTTTAATCAATTACTTTTCACATTTTTTTTATCCTATGCTCTAAGAATGCAATAAATGTATATTTTTATAATTAATTTTTATTAAAAGTATAAATATTAATTTTGATTTAATCAATTAATCAATTAAAATTATACACTAGTGTTAAAATATTTGTTAACTTTTATAATTTTTAAGATAAATTAATTATAACACGATGTATTTATTACAACTTTAACTTATACTGAATACAGATCAGACAAACCCATTTGTCAATTGGATTTTTATCCAAGCATATGTTATGTTAATTACAAGGGGAATGATGGGAACCGGTTCATCAATGGGAATCAAACTGGCATGAATTCCTAAGAACCTAATTGTTCAAATTGGAAGTTTCTCTCATATTGCTATTATTTTATCTCTACGCCTAAAAGGTCAGTACACAGACTGGCAACCATTTTTCAAAGTGGTTGCTTTCCGATCAAAATACTGCATTTGTTACAATTAATTTCATAGCCAACCATTTTTGAAGACTTTAATAAAATCCAAAGATATCACGTCAGCATTTATTATAAGACTTCAAAGTCTTTAGTATAGAAAATGATTAATATACATTTAATTTAATATATTTTTTAATATTTATTTTATTTTAATTATTAAAATACAATATAAGTATAGTTGATTCAATTTATTCTTATATTTTATATGAATAATTGCATCTTTAAGTTTTTTTTTTGTTTTTAATTTCATATTAAAAAATAATTTTATAATGAGTGTATTATACAGTATATTAAATTAAAATATATGTTAATTATTCTCCTTTTCTTATATCTCCACCTTAAAACCTCCCTTAAATCAATCAATAAGCTCCATTTTCTCATCTCATCCTGCTTTTTGTTTCAAAAATCTGGTGAAATCATGGGTGTTTTCACTTATGAATCCGAAGTTATCACTTCAATCCCCCCAGCCAAGATGTTCAAGGCTTTTTTTCTAGATGGTGACAAGTTCATACCCAAGGTTGTTCCTCAGGCCATCAAGAGTGTTGAAATCATTGAAGGCAGTGGAGGGCCTGGAACCATCAAAAAGGTTACTTTTGGTGAAGGTCAGTTCACAAATATTCAAGTATTTAACTAAACATCATAGTTACATCCATGGTAGTTTTTTCCTTAGACAGTTGCATTTGATTACGTAATCCTGCAGGAAGTCAGCTTAATTATGTTAAGCATAAGGTTGAAGCACTAGATGAGGAGAATTTCGTCTACAGCTACAGTGTGATTGAGGGTGATGCCTTGATGAACAGGCTTGAGAAAATCACTTACGATGTCAAGTTAGAGGCATCTCCTGATGGTGGATCCATCTGCAAGAGTACCAGCAAGTATTACACCCTCGGTGACATTGAGATCAACGAAGAAGAAATCAAGGCTGGAAAAGAAAAGGCGTCCGGACTGTTCAAGGCTGCAGAAGCTTACCTCCTGGCAAATCCTGATGCCTATTAGTATTACCTTAATCTGTATTTGTATGTTGAGATAAATTTCAATTATCTTTATCAAGTACTTGCTTCTGCCTGTGATGCAACTTGCCAGTGTCCTGAAGTTATTACGTTAAGAGTTCAGTGTTGTATTACTTTAAGAATCATGAGAATAAGGCTTTTCTTGCATCAAGTAGACACCCTGATGCCTTGTGAAAAATTCGATCATAAGACAACACTCCCTTTCAGTGATCATATGAAAGTTTAAATTGAGTTTGTGTTTGAGGCAGTGATCTTCCTTTTTATTCCCTCTTTTCTGTTTTCTGTATGTAAATAAGGGTAGTCTCCTGGCTACTTGGGTTGTAAATGCTCCAATGGTGTCCAGAATCAAGTGGATTACTATAAATAGAAAGGAGCAACATATGTTTCTGCACTATAAATTATTTTATGATCATATACAAATAACTTGAAATTTATTCCTTCTGCAGAACTACAAGCAATCTTATAATTGATAAATGAAAAACAAAAGACTTTATTGTCATGAACTCATAACGTGGGCAATTTAGCTATTTCCTCTCAGAGAAGAAGTTCTGTTCATCATAAAAAGGGTGGCCTAATTGTAGGCATCAGGATTTGCCAAGAGGTGGGCTTCGACAGCCTTGAACATTCCCATGGCCTTTTCCTTTCCAGCCTTGATGTGCTCTTCCTTGATCTCAATGTCACCAATGGTATGGTAAGTGCTGCTGCTCTTGCAGACTGATCCTCCATTAGGGGAGGCCTCCAATTCGATCTTATTAGAGATTTTCTCAAGAGTGTTCATCAAGGCATCTCCCTCAACCACAGTGTAGCTGTATGCAAATTTCTCTAGGTCAATCCCATCAATTCTGTGTTTCACAGATTTAAACTGGCTACCTGCACAACATAGACCCCTTGTAAACAGTGTTGTTCATCACATTAAAGGCATAATATATATTTATATGTGTGTGTGTATGTCTAACTCAATCATGCAATGTTAAAGTTACCTTCACCAAAGTTAACCTGCTTAATTGTTCCAGCACCACCATCTCCCTCAAGTATCACAACACTCTTAATGGCTTGAGGCAAAATCTTGGGGATGAGATTGTCGGAATCAAGGACAAAGGCCTTAAACATCTTGGCAGGTGGGATTGCTGTAGCAACCTCCATTTCATAAGTTACAACACCCATGATTAGTTAAAAGTTATGGAAATTATCACAGGAGTGTATGGAAAAAGAAGTGGGATTATTTGTTGTATAGAGTTGTGATGCTGTCAGAACTAAAACAAGGCATTTATAGACCTAGGTGTAAGCCATATCTTGTGTGAATGAGTTTTGTTATTGTCTCACCGTTCTGATCTTAGCCGTACATTTCTTACAAAGACTTCAAATGGGTCAGAAAGGAACCCTCTAAAGTAAATGCAAAGCACATGAGGCTTGTCGTCAATGAAGAAAATTAAGGCATAAAATTCCTCTAGTCACTACCTCTAGAAGGCAGAATCTCACCTTGTTCAGCAAACTATATAGTGGGTCAATATTGACTTGACCATCAAATTTCTCATTTTTCCTTTTGTTTTTAGTAGTTTTTTTTGGTATTGCAACCTATTCAGAATTCAAAAAACTATAACCATCCATCTCTTACCAAAGATTTGAAGTCAGGAAGGAAATAATTAATCTATAGGGATATTCATATCAATTTCCCAGGTTACTTTCTTTGACAAAGAAAAAGAATGATTTCCATCTATTTGATCTACAATGGCGCTTTGTGCATGGAAACCTAGGTGTTCAATTCAGTCTATAAATACTGGCTTTAGTTCTCCAGTTCCTCATCTCAAGCACTCCCCTGCATCCCCTGCATATCTGTGAATCTGCCTCCTCCTCATTCTTCTTATCATTTCTAAAGTTCCTAAGTAACCATGGGTGTCTTCACTTATGAAATGGAGGTCACTACTGCTGTTACCCCAGCTAGGATGTTCTAGGCCTTTGTCCTTGATGCTGACAACCTCATTCCCAAGATTGTTCCACAGGCCATTAAGGATGTCGA